GGGGCCCCAACTGTGCCTGTCACTTTGCACAAAGTCAGTTGCCACTCCTAAAATAGCAATGCAATCCCCGTGGCTGAGATCTGTGGCTGAAACAATTGCAAAGTTGCAATCTCTGGGATTGCAACCTCACTTCTGCACAGAGCCGTCTTAAGCCCTAAAATTTAAGCAAATGCCCGGGAAATGCCAAGTTGCAGCCCTAGGATTGCAACCTCACAAGGTAGCAAATGAAATAAAATAAAAAAAAAATATTTTCAGTGTTACAGTTACAAGAAAAGAACAAAAATAAAGAGCAAAAAAAAAAAAAAAACAACAACCCAGTTAAATTTAAAAGCAAATGAAAAATAAATAAAAGCAATGCGCCATCCCAGATCAATTGCTAAAAAATTGCAAGTTGCAGTCCCCTAGGATTGCAACTCACAAGATAGCAAATCTTGAATAAATAAAATAAAAAAAATAATTCTCAGTGTCACAGTTACAAGAAAAAGAAACAAATAAAAGAGCAAAAACAACCCAGTATAATTTAAAAGCAAATGAAAATAAAATAAATAGCAATGCGCCATCCCCAGATCAATTGCTAAAAATTGCAAAGTTGGCGATCCTAGGATTGCAACCTCACCTTTGCACAGAGTGGCTGCTCAAGATAGCAAATGAAATAAAATAAAATAAATCATTCTCAGTGTCAGCAGTTACAAGAAAAGAAACAATAATAAAGAGCAAAAAAAAAAAAAAACCAGTTATAATTTAAAGCAAATGAAAAAATAAATAAAAGCCAATGCGCATCCCCAGATCAATTGCTAAAAAATTGCAAAGTTCCAGTCCCTAGGATTGCAACCTCACAAGATAGCAAATGAATAAAATAAATAATCATCTCAGTGTCAACAGTTACAAGAAAAAGAACAAAATAAAGAGCAAAAGAAAAAAACAACCAGTATAAATTTATAAAGAATGAAAAAAATAAATAAATACCAATGCGCCATCCCAGATCATTGCTAAAAAATTGCAAAGTTGCAGCCCCCTAGGATTGCAACTCACTTTGCACAGAGTGGTCCTAAGATAGCAAATGAAATAAAATAAAAATAAAATAAATCATTTCTCAGTGTCAACAGTTACAAGAAAAGACAAAATGAAAGAGCAAAAAAAAAAAGAAACCCAGTATAATTAAAATAAAAAAAATAAATAAAAAAATAGCAAATGAACCCTTCCCCCACTGAGATGCAATTGCTACAAAATTGCAAATATCCAGTCTCAAGGTTGCGAACCTCTCACTTTTGCAGAGTCACTCCTAAAATGACAATGAAAGTAAAAATAATAACAATTTCTCAGTGTCAACAGTTCCAGAAAAAGAAACAAAAATGAAAGAGCAAAACAAAACAAACAAAAATATTTATAAATTAAATATGAAAAAAAAAATAAAATAAAATAGTAAATGCTCCTCTGGGCTGAGATCAATTGCTGCAAACTGCAAAGTTCCATTGCAACCTTGCTTTTGTACAAGAGTCCGCTCCTAAAATAGCAAATGAAATAAAAAAATAATAATAATATTCCTCAGTGTCAACAGTTACAAGAAATAGGAACAAAATAAAAGAGAAAAAAAAAAACCAAAAGTATAAATGAAAAGTAATAATAAATAAAAAATAAAATAGCAAATGCCACACCTGGGCAGAGATCAATTGCTGCAAAATTGCAAAGTTCCAGCCCTAGGATTGCAACCTCACTTTTTGCAGCAGTCGCTCCTAAAATAGCAAATAAATATAATAATAATATAAAAGCCATTAGTCCAGCCCTAGATGCAACCTCACTTTTGCACAGTCACCCTAAGACGCAAATAAAATAATAATAATAATAATAATAAAAGCCATTAGTTCCAGCCCCTAGACTGCAACCTCACTTTTGCACAGAGTCGCTCCTAAGAATAGCAAATAAATAATAATAATAATAATATAAAGCCATTAGTTCCAGCCCCTAGATTGCAACCTCACTTTGCAGTCGCTCCTAGACAGCAAATAAAAAAAAAAAATAATAATATAATAATAAAAAGCCTTAGTTCCAGCCCCTAGGATTGCAACTCACTTTGCACAGAGTCACTCCTAAGGACAGCAAATAAAATAAAAAATAATAACTAAAGTCATGTAGTCCAGTCCCTAGGATGCAAGCCCTCACTTTTGCACAGAGTTTATTTATTTTTTCATTTGCTTTTAAATTTATACTGGGTTGTTTTTTGCTCTTTTATTTTTGTTTCTTTTTCTTGTAACTGTTGACACTGAGAAATGATTTATTTTTATTTTTATTTTATTTCATTTGCTACCTTGTGAGGTTGCAATCCTAGGGGCTGCAACTTGGCAATTTCCCGGGGCATTTGCTTAAATTTTAGGGCTTAAGACGGCTCTGTGCAGAAGTGAGGTTGCAATCCCAGAGATTGCAACTTTGCAATTTTTCAGCCACAGATCTCAGCCCACGGGGATTGCATTTGCTATTTTAGGAGTGGCAACTGACTTTGTGCAAAGTGACAGGCACAGTTGGGGGGCCCCTTGCGAGCTTCCGAGCTTCCCGGTTGTTGGTTTCTACCTGTAGCTGTTTGGGGGGGCAGAACGCAAAGTGGGTTTTGTGGCCCTGTGATGAGCATGCTCAGATCGTCACACCTGCTCTTTGTCGTTGGAAGATATTCGTTAAAAGATAATAAAAAAATACAATTATGCCGGGGCGCGG